TCCGCGCTGTTACTGGATATTGAAGGCACTACCACACCAATTACGTTCGTTAAGGTAGGACTGAGCTGGAACAGTTACTGTAGTTCATTCTTAATGCACCATTTGATAAAATCGTTACGAAGCAGACGTTAACAAAAGTGTGTAACAGGCGACTGTCACGGTGAACAACGTCAGTGGGAATGATTTGTGGTGGAGTCTCACTTTGACGTAGCTCTTTATTTGTTTATTGACAGAGTCACCGCCCCACAAGTACACAGACCTAAAAAAACAATATTCCTTAGTTTGGTGAATCTCTGAAGTCGTAGTTATACTCCATCGAAAAACTATGATTACATTCTCTGGAAGTGACTTTGCTTTCAATATAAATTACAGTCTTTAAATCGTGTTATATTTGATTCAAAATATAAACTATCCAAATGATCAAAAAAAGACATTTATCACAAGGCACTTAAATAGGAAAAAATACACTAAGTGTATTAGTTTAAAATATTTTTATATAAATAAAGAGTTGAAAATAGTGCTTATTTGTGGACACGGCAAGTAAGTAGATATTGGTTAACAAATGGTTAATTTCACAGGATTGTGTTGTTTTTAACAAAATCAAATTTGTATTATTTATTCATTAAAAACTCTTTAATTCAAAACATTTACTATTGAATGCATCTAATGCCATAACTATGTTCTTTTTAGGACATCTTATTCCCATACATCAGAGAGCATCTCGAAGACCATCTGTCTACTCACTGGGAGGAGGACGAATGTAAACAAGATGTCCATCTGTTAAAGAAACAGGTAACAATGTCAGGACTTTCACTTGGGGATCAATACACAGCACTTCATTTCACTATTCATTAAGAGATTTGTGTTTGTTAATTACTGAATCCATCAATAGAAAAGTCAGACATTTATAATAATTTGTAGAAAATAAACTTTGTGTCAAGGCGGCAACATACTTCCTCGATCAGCGTTGGCTTAAGAAACTCAGACTATGCCTCCATGCTTATTTGGAACCTGTACAATTCTGACTGTTTGCACAGATCGAAGAGGACATGAAGCAGCACCGGGCCTGTCCTGTCCACACCGTGGACGAGACGGTGCACACAGACGAGGAGAAGGCCATCAGAGAAGTCGTGGACAACGTACTGTGGCAGATGGCAGCTGACAGGAAGTCAACGGCACTCAAACAACTCCAAGGTCACATGTGGCGGTCGGCGTATGCTTCAGGGAGAATCAAAGGCGAGTAAGTACACTGATGCTTTACTCACTACTGGATATGGACCTGTACTGAAACAACAATCGGGATTTGTGTGTACTGGGAGGTGTGTGACAGACGGCATCATTCTGTCAGAAACGGAAGAACTGGAATTTCTGTCCTTAAATGAGACAAAGAAACAGGTTAAGACCTGGTGTGAAAGAAACTTATTATTTTTTAAATAACTTAGGTGAAATTACCAGTAATAACATGTGCTTTAACACTTTTTTAAGTAAACAAAGATTTCTTAAAAACAAACAATGCAGTGTTTTCTGACTTGTGGCCTTTTACCAACAGGATCTATCAGGACGTGACCCCGTCAATCAGAAGGTGGAGAGATCGAGGCCTTAAAGTTTATATTTACTCCTCTGGAAGTGTAGAGGCACAGAAATTGCTCTTCAGATACTCTGTGGAGGGAGACGTATTAGATGTAAGTGCAGAAAACGTGTGTATTTCTCCCTCTGTGTGATAAATGAAAAAAAAAAGAAAATCAACGACAAACAAGATATGCACCTGAGTGGGGGTCTGTGCCCCTCACTTTGGGAACCACCGCCTAATCAGCTGTTTGGTTTAAATCTCTGCAGTTATTCGATGGCCATTTCGACACCACTATAGGACTTAAAGTGGATGAAAAAAGCTACCAGAGAATTGCAGAGAGAATTGGTTGTCGACCGGACGAGATAACATTTTTGACAGACGTCAGTCGAGGTGAGTGGTGTCGTCACACCAGTGTGGTAGAGATAGAACAGCAAAAACAACACAATCACACCACTTCCTGTATGCGAACCATACTTTGCTCAGAGTGGCACAAATAAACGCCCAGGTTTGTCTTTGCAGAGGCCAAAGCGGCTGAGGAGGCCGGGGTGAACGTGCTGGTGGTGGTCAGACCTGGGAACATGGAGCTGACGGAGGAGGAGCAAGCTCACTATAACCTCGTTACATCGTTCAACCAGCTGGAACTGACAGGACAAGTTTAACACAACAACACAAGAAAACTTCTTTGACCTTACCTCTTATTATCCTGCTCCTCCTTTGCCCCCCACTCCTGTTGCACATTTTTGTAAAAATGATTTAGATTTATTTTTCCCCCTCTGGGTAATGGTTAAAAGTTCCAAAAGTGTATGAGACACTGTTGGACCAGAGTTCTACGCCTACACCTGAGAATCTCTACATTAAACATTTTGTTTGGCACAAGCTGTAGATGTAAAATATGAGCTCACCGTATCTTTTTACCTTTTTTAGATGAACTGTGTTCTACTGTAGTCGATGTCAGAGGCTTCAGACTTTTATCAGACCCAGTGTGTAGGCGTGTGTGTGAGCAGGTACTTTGTCACCACATTTCTGTGGCTGTGGTTGAACTAATGTTTCAGAAGCTAGAACCAGTGTAGTTGCAACAGGCAGCAGACAAACGAGCTGTTTAAAATCTGTGTAGAATTGTCTTTGATTTGTCCAGTGACCGTCAAACCTCCGTGTGCCATCTTTGTAGTTGTTGTGTAGGTTGCCTTGTAACCTCCCTGGTGTTTAACCTCAAATGGCTAAGGCTGTATAAATTGTGTGAAATGGTTGGTATTATTATTCCAGAAAATTGCTTCCAATAAATACGTGTGGTGTCCCACAGACAGCAGTCTCGACAGTCTTTTTACAGTTAGTTGTTTTTGTTTCTTGGTCTGGTTGCGTCTTAAAGAAAATAACTAAAAAACGTGAAAACGGGTCAACAGACAAACTGAAAAACTACATTTTTGAAACTAGATAATACGCGACCTCCATGTAAGTTTGTAAGCGTTAAATCAGGTGTTTTCTTGATTAATGCTACGAGCTTCATGTTTTTAGAGTCCTACTTTATCGGCATGGACTCTGTGAGAACCTTTGGTCCAGTGACGTGTCTTTCTGCCTTATCTCATAACTTTGTCAGTGTTTTATACCTTGTGTAGTTCAGCGAACCTTCATCCTCCACGGCTTTAGCATGTTCAGGTGTTCAGTGAGGCTGCAGCTAAACCCACTGGTCACCAGGCACTTGCACGGGAGTAACGTAACCAGACCCGGGCGTTGTACGACCCGTGTAGAATCTCAGAATCATAACTGAGGATGTGATTAAAAAACCTGTAGCTGTTGTCGTTCTGTCATTGTCTACAATTTCTTCCTTTTATATACTCACGTGGGCTACACTGCTCAACACTGCCCCCACGATATCCAGTGGTACTGCTGCGTTGGAGTGCGTATACGCAGATTCTCTCAAAAGAACTACCGTATTACGCACGTGACGTAAGCAGGACGGACCTTAGCATCCAAACGTGTACTTAGCCTTAAGGCTAAGCTTAGCTTTGTTACAGTTATGACTGCTTAAAGGTAGATAGTGTTTTTATGACCAGATCTAAAGCTGAAAAAAAAAACTATTCGTCGGTGTTGATTAACAGCGTGGACAGAGTAATGGTCACTACATAGACAACGTCTTCGTAAATAAATACTATTTATTGAAAATATTGAATGTAGTCCATCTAAAACAAAGACTTGTTTTCCTTTATTAACAACACAAACGGAGGCTGACTGTCGCTCTCATTAGAATTGGAATGAAAATCAAGTACACACGTCTGATTCCAGTCTCTTCCTGAGGCCTGACTCAAACAGATCCATCCTCCCCGTGTCCATTTAAGACGACTGTAGCGTTGGAGTAAAGCATGCACACTTAAGGAAAAGACGTCCATTGCACTTTGCTGAGACATGTGACTACATAGATGTTGTGAAAAAACAAGTCAAGAAAACAAAAATGATTAAATGTCTGTTACAGATGAGGTTGAAGTTGATCGCCGTCTAATGCAGTGACATCACGCGGTGAAAGAAAGCCATTACATGCAGGTTTGGAAAACAAGCAAATGCAATATTCGGTGCAGATGGATCGAAACAGTGATGCTGCTTGAAATGCTCGCAGAGGGAAGTGTTGGCTTTAATTCGAACAGCTAAATGTTTCTTTTTTTTAATGAATACATATCACGTCTGCTGCTAAAACAAACATCCCTGCAGTCTGTTTTGCAGATCTACTGCAAAAAGCCATAAAGGCCTGCACTGACTTTAAGAAAACAAAGTAAAGGTTTGTGGTGGTTAAAGCACATATTCATGGATCATAAAAGTATGTGATTATTGCACAAAAAATCAAACACTTTAAAAATGAAGCAAGCTAAAATTTCTCTAATTACGGTTCTCTGTGCGGTAGTGAAGGACATGCGTTTTGCACAAGACTAATGTTTTCCTCAAATTACAAATACACTGATAAAATGCCCTAAAATTCCTGGGTCTCGTTCTGATTTTTATATATTTTTAGTTCTTCCATTTACTCCCTTAGTATTGTAAATGCCAAATACATGTATTCCTCACACAGATGGTCTGCAGTTTACATGGCTTCAATCTGTGAAATTGTTCAGATATCATAATCAATTTCCTACAAGCATGACTCAAATGTTAACTAATGACATTTCATTTGGTTTTACTGATCACTGACTGGCGAGCTACTTTAAAATAAAAAAAACAACTCAGTTTAGCCCTTTATCTGCTCTCCACCTGCTTTACATCGGGCTCTGAACTGTTCCCTTTAATGCTGAGTGATGAGACATGGCTTAGGTGAGTGGCACAAAAAAAAGGGAAAGTTTCTTTTTCATACATCTCTGAAATCTTCATTTCACTTCCTGTGAATTATTTTTAAAACCGTTCAGCTCGGCCCTGACTACCGGCTCTCCACCGTCTGTCTGGACCGGGGACACATTCTTTGAACAATCAATGTTGTCTGATCAGACCTTAAGTTTGTTGGCCTGCGTCAGCACCACCTTGAGCACGGGCATGAACGCCGACGTCTCACTGAAGTTGCTGTTACTGACGATGTGGGTGTGAATGTTGAGGCCCTCGGTGTAGGATTGTGACTCTATGGTCCTGGCGATGTTGTGCAGTCCTCCGACGATGGCTGGAGAGAGCTGAGGATGAATATGGAGGAAGAGTCGTAAAGATGTTCCATGACAGCAACATCATACATCGATCGAGAATCTCAATCTGTTTTCAAACAGATCTCAGAGGTCAAAGGTTATCATCGATACTGTATCTTTGTCAGAAATGGCTTGAATATTTTCACCAGGTCTAAAAGACAAGTCCAGCCCGATACTCACCGTCTGCTCTCTGAGTTTGTCATAAAGTGCTTCTAAGCGTTTGTTGGCATCATCAAGTTTTCTCTTGGTTTGCTATGAAGAGAGAAGAGAAAAAAAACAGGAATTAATGAGGAAACTCAGAACCAGGATCAACTGTGTTGTCGTATCCATCAGCAGAACTCACAGGGTCTGTAGCTACAGCCAAGCACTTCTGGATGAGTCCTTCAAATGTGGTCTTAAGAACCATGTGCTCATCAGGGATGGGCTTCTTCATGATCTTTTCAGCGGGCATGGCCTTCAGAGGCTGGGGCGGGGGGGGGTTGGGGGGGGCACAAGGTGATCAGCATTTTTACATAACAAAGTGACATTTCTGAATCAAAGAAAGCATGTGTATAATTTACAGCATGGACATTCATGGATATTTAAAATAATACAATGGTTCTAAATCTTTTTGGCTTGTGTACCGCCCTCTTCTGTTATACCACGAGTACATGATAAATTGACCACAAAGCAACTACTGACAAACTAAATATTCCTGTTGTACCTGCACAATATCTCCAGTAGGGGCTCCCGGTGCTCCCTCTGTGTTACTCTTGGGCAGTCCAGGGTTCAGGGTTACTGGAGAGGTGACCTGCTGCTGCTGCTGCTGCTGTTGTTGTTGTTGTTGTTGTTGTTGTTGCATGCCAGAGTAGGGAATCTGGGCATTGTGCAGACCGTGACCCATGCCCTGAGGAGCTCCACAGGGCACAGACTGTGCCTGAGGGTCAGCACCAAGTGGAGCCATGATGGGAGCAGTGATGGGTGCAGGGGGAGTGTAGTTCTCTAGAACCTGCTGAAAAAGGACAGACTTTTCCTTAATATATAAAGAGTTTTTTTTACCAGTTTACTTTACTTTCACTACCATTACCCGGCTGATGAACTTACCTTCTTCTTTGATGATCTGCTCAGAGCTGGAGGGTCGTTCCAGCCATTCTGAGGCCCTGTAGATTCAGGAGAGAAGAATAAATAACATCTTCACTAAAGAAAAGCCACAAAACCTTTTGTTTGTTTTTTTACAAACCACCTCCTCAGGAAGGTTGGTACACTTTCTCAAAATTGACTTCAGTCTGTACTTTGGTAATGTAAGGGTTAATCAGGCAGATATTCAGCAGTTTTTTACTGAATAACACTTTTTTTTGCACTGATTTTCAGTAATAAAACTGAAAACCCTGTAAAAAAGGTCACTTTTTTTTTTTTGAGAAAGTGTGTGTGCAACGTTCCTTTAACCAATCCCTGCTTTGTATTTAATTATAAAGTGATTGCACACATTGAGTACCCATTCATTGGCTGGTGTATTGATTGATGTGTTGTATCAGATTATTCACCCAGTTTAAATGTAAAGTTCTGATTACAATAATTTATCAACAATTAAATATTGAATTATTCTTATTTATAAAAACATATTTAAAAAAAATTATCATTTATCACCTCACCGATTAATTTGAGTTACAGTTACTGTTAAAGTGTCATTTGTCCTACAGTGCACTCCAGACTTCAGAGTGAGTCCGGTGTGAAGTTTGTGTTTAAGGAAGTTAAAAGTTCAGACGGAGGAGTTAGTAAATCGTGATCCGACAATCAGAGCCATGCAGACCTGTTCTCTGAGAGGCGGGGGTCGGGTCGGTGTCACGGTCATGCAGTGTACCTGAGATTCCACTCAGTGGAAAGAGAGGCATGTATGACACAGGAGATCCTGGTCCTCCATGCTGGAAAGACGCTCCAGGGGACAGAGGAGCAGACAGAGCGGAGGAACAGGAGGAGGCATTAGGAAAGTAGGGGTTGAGCGTCGGTGGAGTGGAGGACAGAGCATGACTGAAGGAAGATTGTCTGTGATAGAAGATAGACACGGGCTGTGTGTATGGTGAGAGGAAGCCAGGTTGAGCAGGGGAGCACAGGTCTACAGGAGAAAGAGGGACACTGGTGGCAGGAGAGGTGGGGCACTGTACCCCGGCTCCAGCTGGGTACTGGTTGACCTGAGGGTTGGCTGAGGGTCACACAGGAAACAACAGAAACGGTTAGAGAACAGAGTGTTGAACAAACGGCGGCATTTGGTGGAAACAGACAAGAGGCTACAAATGAACATGCATTTTACAGAACAGTGAACCTAACATGCAAAGAGACTGACAGAATAAAATGTGATCAGATCAAGACAATGTGTGGAGAAAGACCATCCACTCTAACAGCTGACCGTTCAGCTCTACATGCAGGAGGTCCAGAAAGAAAAGACATTAATAACAACACACTGTAAAGATGCACCAAACTCCCAGTCCTGTGTACGGTTGTTGTGACCCACTGTGTCAATGCGTCTTCTTTTTGAAAAAAAAATGAACAAAAACCTCAACCCATGACAAAGACATAACGCTAAAAGTTGACGAAATTGTGGAAAATCCTTGAGAGACGTTTAACGTTCCATGTTTTAGTTAATAAAATAAGAGAATCCTGGTGCCAGCGTTCTAAAATGATAACATTGATCTTAGAACCTTTTGACTTTTATCCCATAAATAAAATAAATTAAAACAGCACGGTCTATAATCCTGGTATAAAAGGGACAATTCCTTCACTCTGTGTCCAATCAGATACTCACGCTGGTACTGATGGGAGAGCATGTAGGCAGGAGTGGAGGAGGCTGGAGGAGGAGCAGCTGAAGAGGAAGCTTTCATGCCATACATGGGGTTCGGAGGTTCCGTCTGCAAAACAGAAGTGAAACACAATTAAAAAAGATAAAGAAGAGGAGAAGACATCTGGATTATCGATGCTGCTCGTTCAAACCAGGCCGTCTCCTCTGCCAACACTGGGTCAAAGGGGCATTTTTAAAATCTCCTGTGTTTAGGGGCTGCATGCAGGGAAGGAGCGGCAGATTTAGAGTCATGCACAATCGCTGTTGGAAAAACAAACAAGGGGCCTGTATGAAGGAAGGTGAAGCAAATGGACAGAACATCAGATGGTAGTTTGGATTAGAAGCTCAGACGCCAAGGTTACAGGCAGGACAGTCAAAGAGGTGCAGAGTGAAAAGCCATGCCTGATCATTGGAACAGTCACGTGACATGCGTCCAGCTGAGGGGGCGGCGTTTGTACCTGCTGCTCTGAGGCGTTCCCTACTTGAAGAGGAGGAGGGACATTGGGGAGAGCTGTGGGACATTGGTTACTCCAGGAGGTGACAGTGGGGGCAACCCTCACCTAAAGCACATAAAGACACGTGGCACAAACCAATGATGGCTGCAGGACCGAACACACCACAACAGCACCACAACAGCACAGACAACAATTGGAGTTTGTGTCTCCAGAATTCTGTCCAACGGTGTCCAAGAAACACACGTGTTAATACTTGGAGAAGAACAAGACAGTAGATCCCTGGCTAGAATGGAAGTCCATGTGACGGAATGTTGACAGCACTAGACAGGTCAGTTAGTATGAAGTGGTCACTGTCACACAGAGGACAGAAATGAACAGACAACAGTGGTTCAGTTTAAGAACCGCAGACATAAATGCGTGTCAGTCGTAACGGTGGACAGAACAAAACATTGTTGAGGACAACGACGTCACAACAACAACTTTCTACAAGGCACCATCACGATGAGCATGTTGAGTTATACCTCATTTTCTTGACATTTTTCTATCGTTTGGATAACTGGAAACACAGACCTGCTGTTATTGGTCTTTCTGTTCCTGCCGTTTACAGATTTGTTTTGTGTCATATTTGAGAACGCTGTTTCATCTCAACTAATTCACAGTCTGTGATTAATCACATCAGAAATAGTCATCTTTTGTCAGCTCTTAATATTACAAAAAACTACATGGCTAATGAATGTATCATCGTCCTGTGGTTCTATTTGTTTCAGAATTATTCTTCATTTAAATGACACACGCTCTGTAATTTAAGGAACATACTGGCTGGTAAAAGTGCATCTGGGCTGGTGCAGGGGCAGAGGGAGGCACCATGGGAGGCTGCACTGGTGTAAAAGGATGCTGTGGCAGCGAGGAGCCCTGCTGAGTCTGCCGTTGTCGGGACTGAGTTCTCTGGGTTTGCACGGGAACAGCGGGAGCCGTGCCCTGCTGTCCCAAAGCTCGACTGAGTCGGTCGCGGAGCTGCTCTACGGCAACCTGAAACAACAACAACAACAACAACAGGTGAGGAGTGAAATGAAAATGAAAATGAAGCAAAGCATTTGTTTCTTTTTTATACGAGTCAAACGTTGCGTTAAAAGAGTTGTTTTGACATTTTAAATCATCTCCACTTCCAGTGTTTAAACGTCTTTTATTTTCAGTGACTATTGCACCTTTATTCATGTGAATCAATGCGACCAAGTCATTAATGTATAAAACTGTAATATAGCTTGAAAAAAGGTTCTTAATCACAGCTGTACTTCCTACCTGGTTGGTGTTGTCAGGCAGGTAGGTGATGGCGGTGGACAGACTGCCCTGTGAGGCCAGCAGGTTGGCATACTGGCTCATCTTCTCAGCCAATAGGACGCCAACAGTGGTGGAACTGGAGTGCTGGGTCTGCTCCACTGCACGACGCAGCACAACCACTTTCTCCACAAGGTCCTGAGTGGAAGAGACCCGACAGCTCAATAAAACTTTTATACAAGATCAAATAGTATCTCTCTGACGTCACTGTAACACATGGAAATATAAAGCTAATTCTCTGTCACTGCTGCAGGGATAAGGCAGCATCCCTGGAGCAAGTTAACTGCCTGCACAGCATGCTATTTGATTCTGAAAAAAAAAAAAAAAGCCAAAAAAAAAAACTCACAGAGATGAAGGGAAATCAAAATCAAGGTTATTGGAGAACACTTTTTAATTTAAATTTATAATAAAAGTACACCCACCGGTTGTCCAAAAGCAAAGATGAAAAAAATATTTTTTCTTTCCCAGGAAAGCAAGTTAACTGCCTGCACAACATGCTATTTTATTCTGAAAAAAAAAAAAAAAAGCCAAAAAAAAAAACTCACAGAGATGAAGGGAAATCAAAATCAAGGTTATTGGAGAACACTTTTTAATTTAAATTTATAATAAAAGTACACCCACCGGTTGTCCAAAAGCAAAGATGAAAAAAATATTTTTTCTTTCCCAGGAAACAGCCTTATTTTTGTCTTATTTCCCGGTTTATGACCAAAACTAAACTAAAATAATGATGATAAAAAATTCTTCTTTCTTGATATTAAAAAAATACAGTTTTTTTAACTGAATCAAAGTTCAGTAACACACCTGGAGAGACAGGGGGCAGTGTCTTTCTTGACCTTTCATCCAACAAGCTACCAGTTTTTCCACATTGCCAGCGCAGATGTAACACAGACAGGCCTGAGCTTGCAGGTCAGCGCCCTCTGCTGTCTCTAGTCTGGCACCAAGAAGGTCTGGCAAACAAGAAGGTAAGATTTAGGTTTAAGAAGACATAAGAAATCAATCAGAGACAGGAGTCCCTAACACAGCATTAGCAACATTGAGCGATGCTGGGACAAAGTATGAAGTGTAGTGATGTTTGTTTTCTGCGCTACTGTTCCTGACGTATTACTGTAATACAGCTGCTGCAGACAATGACGATGGCTGTCATGTAATACTGTAGTTCGCCGACTGTCTCAGTGGGTGTAATACAATACTGTGCTGTCTGTACACATATGTACCTTGGTTTCACTGTGGCAGTTGATGATTGTACTTTAAGGCTAATGTTTGGTGTATACTTTAGTCAACATCTAATTTTATTTTGCTTGTGTTGAGCTATGTTGTTTTAATTTGATAAGGTTTTCGATATTCAGAAAAAAGAGCTTTTTAAAACAAACTTGAATGGAATCCTTTAAAAACTTTTTTTTTTTATCTAGCTCTATATGATTTCAATTTTTCCAAAACTAAATAAAAATGAAAGAAACTTCAGTCCTACATAGAGGAAATTCTGAAAAATGTTTAGAATTAAATAAAAAATATTTAAAGAAAAGGTTTTGCTATTTTTATCAATTTTTTTGATTGTCAGAACTTTTTCCCAGAATTACAACACACACCAATAAAAAAAGCAAACTGACCACAGAGAGAGGAGAACTCCTCTGGCTGAGCGTAGGTCATGACAGCAGCTAGAGCCTCCTTCCAGTTCTGCAGGTTGCACGTCTTCAAGATGTGGTGCCAGTCTTTCATCACCACGGCACTGATGAGCTGCAGAACAGATTGTTAAGGCACTTTAAAATGACCCTGTGGTTGTTGAACGCCCCGCGCCCCCTGGTTGATGCACACCTTGGTTATTTTACTGTGTGTTTTGGCAAAATATTTCTTTTGGGTTTTCTCCAGGAGCTCAGCTCCTCCAGCTATGGCCAGGATGATGCTGTCTGCCATCCTGTTGTCATGGAGACAGAGGTCCACAGCTCCATCAAAGTCTCCAGTCAGCAGGGCCTGTGTGATGAGCCCGTCCACGTCTGGCAGGAAAATGACAAGTTTCATTGTTTTAGAAAATAAACAAGCCTGACAACAATCACATGAAGTGATTTGAATAAAACTTATCAGTCTTCAAATGGCTAAATATTAATTTGATAAGCTTTAACAGTCAACGTTTCCTTTTTTCCTTTGTGACCTTGATCTATTTTTACATATTAATTTTTCAAGTGAAGTGCTGCTTTAAAGTCTATTAATTTATCTTTCCAATCAAAATCGTTCCAGATATTGTCAATATTGATTCTGCTAGTATTGATACCTTGACTGATGATGAGGTCGACTCCTTCATCAGAGGCTGGAGCTGTGACTTGAGTGACCTCTGATGTTGTAGCTGTGGACTGAACTGGACTGGGCTCCTTCACTGGTGCTGGGGTCTCCTAAAACACCAGCAAAGAACATTAGAATGTTTTTTTGGTTAAGTCTCTTTAGCCATTTTAAAAACAGGTGTTTGCAGGTGTAAGCTTTTATACAAGTACAAAACTACATCTTCAAAATAGTACTGATAAAATGAGTCAAACCTCATCTAATGCAATTTCCTCCTCGTCGTCCTCCTCCTCTTCCTTCTCATCCTCCTCTGTCTGTCCCTTTGGGAGAACCACATCCTCCTCTGGATCACTGGCAAGAAGATCCTCTTCTTCATCGTCATCCTCTGCCTTCTCATCGTCTGCCTCGACAGGGGAGTCCAGATCAAGGGTGTCAGCTGGTTGGATGTTGGCAGCAGCGATCAGGTCAAACGCTGCTTCAGGATTGTCTACAGCTGCAGCCAGGCTGAGGTCAGGTAAAGGGTTCTGAACGACCGAAGGAGGTTCCACCGGCTGAATGGTAGCAGAAAACACAAGAGTGGAGGCAGGAAATAGAAGAGTGGAGGCATATACTTTCTTGGCCAATAGAAAGAAACACATGTAAAAAGACTTAAAAATGAATTGTATTGGGGCTGACAACAGGCCACGGAAAAAATTAGGATGAAAAACGTTTTCAGATTCATGAAATGACTATATTCAACCCAGAGAAGGTGACGTGTTAGAGAGTTATGGAAATCTCAAATCTCAATTTTTGAGTTTTTCATAGGGTCATTAAGAAATTAAATTGCCTGTAAAACATAACATTGAAGGATGAGGATTTCAAGCGACCGTATAAATCCTGAAAAGACAATTAATCAAAAACACATCACATCAAAAATCCATTCAGAGAAAGTGGAACACAAGTGACAGTGACAGACTGATCTTCCATGTTCCTCTGTGCACACAATAAAGGGGAAGTAGAACATGAAGGGTGGGGTCACTTATTGTGACACTTCAACAAATAAAACGCAAAGAAGTTGCTCGTTTTGTGGTGTTGTCAATCACAGTGATCAGGAAGTTAGATGCATATCATTTGAAGCTGTTTAGCAACAAAATCCTACTCACGTTTTCACTACAGCTGTACTGATCCGTAAAGAAAATATTCCACTAAAATGTCAAATCAGTTGAACTTACTTTGAGAGAATCAGGTTTTTCTTCTAGGGCTGCAGAAATCTGAAACATAAATTGATGTATTTAATACAAAATAAACCCAAACCAGAAATTAAGTTATATCAAATTAACAAGTCCATAAAAAGAATCTAAGTAACAAGAAAGAACGTTTCACCTTTAAGGCCAACTCTTCTTTGTTGTATCCCAGAAGTTCAAGAAACTTGATGCGGATATCGCTTTCAAAATTAGCCTAAAAAACAAAAGATACACAGGCAAAACGTTTAGGAAGTATTTACTTCTTGTTTATTAAATACTGTTTATTGTTTGTTGGGTTGTTGTTGTTTTTTTTATTTCTATACCTTGAGAAAAGACCAGAGAGTCTTTTCAAATTCATTTTCAGCAGCACTGATTTTTCCCTGGCAGAAATCCACAAAGGTGCCTGCAGTCAGAGTGGCCTGCAGCTCATCAGAGCGCTTCAGAAAGGCTGTTTCCGTGACGACCTGACTGATATGCACCACATGGTGAGTAGGCTGCTGGGGCTGCTGAGGGTTTGGCTTCCCATTCTCTATAGTAACCATCTTCCCACCAAACTGTAAGTAGAACATCCAGGACAACCAATGTGAATAAAACAAAAGCTGAATTCTCAGAAAGACACATGGAACAGAACTCACAGCAAACGTAGCTCCAACAGGTCTGCGGATCCACTTGGGCGGTTTCTTCAGAGGATTTACTGAAGCTGGGGGCACAGTGGTCTGAGGCAGCTGCAGCGGAGGCAGCGTTTGGCCTGTTCCAAAGGGATCCATGTTCCCGAATGAAGTGCTAATCTGGAAGGATGGTGAGTTAGAGGAAAAAAAAAAAAGTCAAGCAGCAGGAGAGTGTTTAACAACCATTTTCTTTTCTACAATGACTGAAGTATATTAAAAAATCTGTCCAAATATTTAAAAAAATAAGACAATATGATATATTTATCACAGAGTGACAACAAAGATAACTGGTGTATTAGACGAAGCTGCACCATGGGTAAGCTGGGGCTTAACATTTCACATCAGGGAAATGTACACAATACATAGAGATGTACAGTAATGCATGTTTTTTAAACAATAATCAAAATAAAATGATTAAGAGTGAGTCATTTACAAATGAAAAAATACCCAATGTTTAATGAAGCACTGGCATCATTAATGATATAAAACCACTGGGGTTTAAGCACAGATCAGATAAGGAAAATATATTATAATAAAAATAATAGGGTACCCACTTGAACATTGCATTGTCAGAAACGTATATAAACATGATTTCTTTATAAGAGTTAAGTGATCATGTGATTGACAGCAGAACAGAAAAACACCGGCCGGGCGTTTCCAAGCTGCTACACCTATAATTTAGGGTCCACTACTTAAAACATGGAATCCAACTTTGACTTTGCATAACTTGTCTTGCCTTTGTCTTGCCTCTTTGCCTTTGACTTGTCAATCAAAGGCACCACTGCATGTGCAGGTTGCCGCTTTTGTTCTTATGTCTTTGGATCCAAGCCAAATAGATAAGAGCGTTCTTAAAAACATTGTTCTCGTGCCTGTGCTTGATTACAGAAACCGCGTCTTTATCTCCTGACGTTTGAACCTCACCTGGTCAGCATTTCTCTGGTTTTGCGCTCGGTCGCTGCCTCCCATGATGGAGTAGATGTCAATGTGTCCATCGAAGCTAGCGGCTGACAGCACGGCAGGGTTCCTCGGGCACCACTGGATGTCGAAGCACCACTGGCTGCTGGTGGGTAACTCGTACAGCACCTGCAGAATCACACACGACACTCACAGTTTGTTGATTTGTAAAGTGGTGTTCTGACGTGTGAGCGAGTGACTGAACAGTGGACTCTTACCTCTGAAGTGTTTGGATTCCAGCACAGGATCCTGCTGTCCTTACCACAACTCAGGAGCAGCTCAGGATCAGCCACGCTCCAGGCGATGGACAGAACACCTCTGAAGAAAAGAGACCAGACGGTTCTAGGATTAGTTTGAACTTTTTCACAAAAATTAAACTGTGGCTTTATTTCACTTTCACAAAGTGTCGAGTCATGAAACAGATGTCAGTGTGAGAAGCAATTCAGCCGACAGTGCTGCAGTAATGAGACAAAAGTGCCAGCACTGTGGCCTGATTTTGATGAAATATAATTATTGTTTTAAGGTTAATTTCTGTGAACAAGATGTCTCCTAATAATTTTAAATGTAAAGCCTTTCAGACGGAGTCTAATCAGAGAGGTTGAAGACAAACCATTTTTCAGATATAGATGGCAAATAAACGAGTGTGGGTAAAAGGGCTGAGTAACCACCTGTTTGTATCAGATAAACGGAACAAAGTCAGAGTCAAACGCTGACCAGATTCCACCCGGTCTATGACTTGTTTTTTAAAAAAAAAATAAATAAAAAATATATATATATGTTTAAGTTGATCATACAAATAGTGACACATTGACAACATTAGAATTCAAGGACTTATACATATAAGTGCTGATCACGATCAAGGTCCAAGAACAGAGCTCACTCCTCAGTTTTTGAACACTGACACTCTTTGCTCAAAAAGATTGCTTAGTCAACAAAACCTTTCCACCCATTAGTATCAATTATTATGGGATATTTTTGGTGTTTTCTTTTGTTTTGTGTGTCACACTCAAAGCTCTGCCTACCGTGTGTGATTCTCTAAGATCTTGAGAGGAGAGGTAGCGAAACGCAGGTCCCACATCTGGATGACGGGCAACCGATCATCCTCTGAGGCCAGGACCAGCTGAGTGGCCACCTCTGGGTTCCAGGCCAAGCCAGAACAGTGCATCTAACGACCAACAGAGAGAAATGTACATGTCATGTATCAAGTATAACGTGAGAAAAGCGGAGAAGGATCGTGACAAAAGCAGACGGGGAACCAGGAGAAAGACGTACTCTGTTACTGTGGTCGCTGACTTTAATAATGAGGTCATTCTTACGAAGATCCCACACCGAGGCTCGGCCACTGGGGTTGGCAGAGGCCAGGATGTGCTGGACCTGTCTGTTCCATGCCACACAGCTTATGTCCTCCACAGGCTATAGGAGAAAAAATAAAAAATATTCCACTCAGTAAATATTCTCATCTTCTGCCCAACAAGGTGGAGTGTTACAGGAAATCATTAAACAAAGTATAAGATTTGTTTCACAGCTGACTACAGACTGAATGTCTGGGAGGGTTGCCCTCTCCTTCAGTTTAAAAAGTAGAAGAAGAAAGTGGCTAAATGTAATAAATCTACCTGCGTCTTAGGTCCTGGTGTCATCGGAGAACCAAAGTTGTTCATGTCCCAGATAAAGATTTCAGACTCATTTCCACCTGATGCTACCAGATTTGGCTGGAGGGAAGAAGATAAAGTACACGTGAGATCAAGACCTGAATCAAACTGCACGGTTAATGAACAAACAGCAGGTTAAATAGTTCGTACTTGGAAGGGGTTGATGTCCAGAGCCCTGACTGGCCCTGTGTGTCGGTCACTCTCAGCTATGATCACATCGCTCTCCCCAGCCATTATTTTTGCTGGGTCATACAGAATGACGTTGCCGTTCTCCCCTCCTGCAATTAGGACACCAGAGGGGTGACCCTGGTCATCCATCCCGTAGGGACCCCATACCAGTTTGTGATATCTGTAGGGACAGAAATGTGTGACACACACACCAGCTCAAAAATTAAAACAATTAAGTGCTTTTAACCTCCAGGTCAAACGCAGTCTGGTACGATGTGACGTTGTTGAGGAACTAAGAATAACCTGTGAGTTGAGGAGTAGTTGCCACATGACTTCATATCCAGAGATGGATTAGCCAGATCCAACTCAAAAAACTCCAAAGACGCATTGGTGCTAAAGGAGGCATCCAGCTGCTGGGCTGATGTTCCTGAGAAAAGACAGAGAAAAAAAAACACCAACAAATGTAGGAGTCAAACTCACTTCAAAGATTCAGTAAGTGCTGCTGTTTGAGGTATTTAATGACCAAATTAACAACTGAAGCTGCTCTAAGTACCGTATCCAATAACCACTAAAAAAGTTACATTCGTATAATGTCTTTTCTTATTCTCATTAGTCTATGTTTACTTTTAATCCCTGCAGAAAAGTCATCAATAACCTATGGATGACGTTATATGACATATTGGTCAGAAAATATATTGATTAATGGTTTTCGTACGTCTAGAAAAAAAAAAAGCATTTGAACTTTGTCAAATACGTTTGTCTTTATACAACACATTACAGGTCTTGATTGTCACACTAGCAACTAGGAATGTTAACGGCCAGGCTGACAATCTGGGATTAAACCCACATAAACAAGGGCTGGATCTGGGAATGAAAAGTTTAGCGTGAGACTAAATTTCTTGACTGTTATATAAACAACTTCACACCCATTGTTCTTCACTTTTCCACGAACAAGGGTTCACAGCAAAAGCACCCTGTTGTTTTTTGTGAAACTAACATGCACAATTAAAATGTACAATTCAGATAATGATGCAGAATCCCTTTCACCGACATTTAAAAGACTGATTATGGTGGCCTTGGTAGCAGACGTGTGCAGGTGTTCATACCTGTGGCCAGGTAGATGGGGTGGTGCTGAGCAGGACTCCAGCACTGGATGGCTGTGCGGTTGATCTCTTTGAGTTTCATCCTAAAATGATGGGGTAGATCGTGTAGTAAACAGCTGTGGAATAACTTGTAGAAAAGCCACAGTTAAGAATCGACTAAATGAATGACATGTGACCAATAAACAAATAACCCTTTTAAAAATATGAATAAACATGAGTACCTTTTTCTGTGACATTTATACAGAGTTTGCCCTAAAGCAAAACATTTATGCAATTTAGCTTAATGCCAGTAAATCATTACAGTTAAAAAATTAAAAAATGAATCTCTGGTGTGTGATATGTAGATAATTCAGCAGTACAGGCCCAGTCAATCAACCAGTATGTAAGGTTCATACGGTATGTACTTTTACAATATGTAAGCAGTAAAGTTAACATGAAGTAATAAGTGCAAGGTATATACAACGCATACTTTAATACTAATTTGTAATCACACTCGTTAGTACTGCTACACCAGAATAACAGGCTTCTTGCAATACTTTTCGAAATATGGCAGACTGCTATATTGGCAACTGATGCAACCTGAGTACAACAATGCATTTCTTGAGATATGAGGTGTTAATGTGTTTTTACAGCAGAATAAACAAGACAGCGAGTGCACGAATGAAACAAAAACGCAGCATAGGTCAGAGGTTTGTAGCAACAGCAGTGAGGGGTTTTCATTCGGTTTTTAAAAGGTCATGGGTGAATCAAGTGCTACATAAGACTGCGGTGTTTGAAGCAGTTTAAGGAGTTTTAAATTGTTTGTTTGTGATTTTACACGTTTTCAGAGCAACAGACTGTCAGACTAGGGTCGTAAATTGATTAGTGTGGGATCAGTCCACTGAAGCCGGTGTTTCACGCAAATGTAGAATTGTAGCATAAAGCTAATCATTGCGTATGCAAAGCATTTGCTAAAAAAGGGGGTTCTATGACAGTGTAAAGACATGGTACTGTGTGTACTAACAGAATGCTACTCACTAATGGGTTGTGTAGCTCGTTCGCTGGCTGAGCAACATTCATACAACACTTACACTGTCTCGTCTGTCCAAAGCGCCTTACCTTGTCTCTTTTGCTCCTTCTCACATAAACGCACACATCAAATAGAAGACAAACAATGCCCACACTCCTCGGTGGAGTTCAGCTCAAGGCCAAAAACCAGAGAAAAGCCACGGACAGACACTACCGGGTACCGGCTGCGGATTGCAGACGGCTTTCCACGTCCACACTGGTCTCCATCAACGTGGCACAAGCTGAGCAACCACCTCCCTCTGCCGACGAAGAAGAGCGACAACTTCCGGTGAAAGTCTATGCATACGGCTTTAAAACTCCCGATTTTCGTAGGTCAAAGTAGTTATACTAATATTTTGTGTAAATAAACGTGTAGCAGACACTGCAAACAAAACACATTTTGCATAGTTCTTCTCCGCTCTCGATAATGACTAGACCCGTGTTTCTCTCCACAGTAAGGCAAAAATAAACACGAAATAACCAAAAACAACAAAGTCCCCTTTGACGCAGTTTTATTAAAAATCTAAAAAATATATATACCAAAATAAACTCTAATAACTGATGGCCTAGACTCGTGGACAGCAGGTTGTTTTTAATGTTTCTTACTCATTCAAAAAAAGTGCCCTGTGTTTGCTGGATGTAGCACCACCTAGAGGCAAAATTACAAGTTTAGTTTGAATCACCTTTACTTCAACCTATTGTCTTATCTGTGCAAATTCCTTGTACGTGTAAACAAACATTTGATTCAAGTATAAATATATTACAATGTTGTATTAATTAAAATGTACAATCTATAACAATCTATTTTCTTTCTTCTCAGATTCAACACAATTGTTATCTTAATCCATCCATTTTATATTTATTCTCATTAATCAATCTTGTTTTTATAAGGATATCTAGGAGACTACGCTTTGAATGAAATAAAATGTTTTTTTTCCCCCCTCTAAGTGACTTTCCTTGTCCCTCAGAGTGAAAACCCTGCTATTATGTCAGGATTGATGACCATCTGTCAACTCTCCATAATCTTAATCCTGACCTCACACACTCCCCCGGCACCACTTTACAGTCTCCTATCTCTCCGCTTGTATTTCCCACACAGAGGTTAACCACCTGTGCACACATTAACATCAACGTAGCTTTGCACAAATGAAAGTTAATGTGAGTATGAGACCTATTGTCCATTCATTAAAATGACTCAAAGACTGACAACGGGGCCCTCTAATTAAATGTATTTTCTCATGATTGTATTTATTGACATAAGAGCAAATGAAGCACAACATAAATCAGTGAACAGAAATGGTTTTAGATTAAATGCAGCCTTGTAAAATAAATAAATACATTTTTAAAAAACAACAATTGACATAAACATGTATTTTTGGATTGTTCAGTCAATAACAAAACCTCATTGTCACTAAAATGTTGCCTTAACTTTAGCTTAGAAAATGTCTGACACATGCGCAATAACCAGACGAGTGTTTAAACTAAATTACTTAACCATATAATGGTATGTAATGAATGATTGTTTTGCAATTAAACTGTGGTTTGACAGAACATTGGACACTGTCCAAAATGTTTCTATGAAATTACTACTGATCAATTATGTGAAAGATTAAATATTTCAATAATTCACAAGTTAATAAATATAATAAGATCAGATTACACACAACACATTTGACCCAGGTTTTCAAAAACAGTTTATTGAAATTCCAACTGCCTAAAAGTTCTGTCAATCATCACAAGAAGCACAACTCAACCTGTCAAACCTGAAAAACAAAAATCACAAGTTACGTCTGCATTCACTACTCACTACATCTGCAACATGCATGACGAGCAAACCCTCATAAAAAAGTTTAGACATAATCTTCCCCAGACATAAGTGTGGGTCAGATGGGTAGTGATTGACATAATCATTGGGATTGTAGTTTTTTGTTTTGTATTTTTTAAAACAATGATAACTGATACATACACATTCAGGGTCGATTCACAAACTTTACCACAGGAAAACAGTTGATCTGCAAATACAGAAGATCATGGAATTAGTATAATATAATAATGGAACTTAAACAATTCAACAATGTTCACTCTAAATGCACAAAATACCTTTACAGTTAATTCTTATAACACGGAGATTGAATAGCAGCGGAAAAACTGAGTTTTTTTAATGTGCAGTCGTGTTTAGCATATCTTTTTAACAATAAAACAATTGTAAATTCCAAACTGTCATTACGTCACATTGTCACGTTTTCCGGTAGTTGTGATTTATTTCGACCATGCCAAGACATATATGAACACATAAATATACACATATATATAAAGAGTGCTGACTTTAATACTTTTAACAAGTTTTTAACGAAGACTTCATAAATGATCCAGACACGAGCGTCGCCACGTGGCAGAATATACAGAGCTAACTGCACATTATAAAGTTATACCGAAGTAACTTTAAGGGGAAAGTTAGCAACACCCGATTTCTTAAACATAAGCTTGACGTATAAACAGGCAACAATGAAAACAATTTAAAAAGAAAAAAACAAACAAACGTACGTTTCCAAATCAGTGCGACATGAGTTCTTCTTCGTCTCCTGTTTCTTCCTCTGCTGCTGCGCCTTCTTCTTTAGCGCTTGGCAAAAATCTAATTGGTGCACTACTGCCACCATGTGTTATTATTATTATTATTTTGCAAAGCCCCAACAACTTCAGCAATATTCTAGTTGACCCTATTGTTAAGTTGACATTTGCCTTCATTTAAAAACGCCCTCCCTTAAAAAAACACCTTTTCAGGGAGGGCAGGTGCAGGCAGTTAAGTAATCAGGCTTGTGATTGGAGAAATACAGGGTCCAAGTCCAGCCTCTGCCAAGTGTTGAGCAAATGCCAACACTTCATATGCATTTATATTTTTAATAATTTAATTAAAAGCCATTACATAATTCTAATTCAAAGACTATTTTCTAATACGACTCATTTTAGTACAAGTTTTATTCCAAATTGTTGGCGATGGTTTATATTGATATTTTCTTGAATCTGTGTTAAAATGTGAAAAAAGAAAGACACAAAAGTCACAGATATAAGAATGACAAAAAAAATAAATAAAAAAATTGACACAAAAGCAGAGGCATGCCCTTTTCTTTTCCATGGAGAGTGGTCTCTGTCCAGGATCTCCATTTAAAAATAGTCTGATTCAATTTATCATTATTAAATTATTTATTACAATATTAAATAATTTATCTGGGACTGATTTACCACAGAACACACACAGCCCTGTGTGAACACCGCTACAGCAGTCACTGCTAAGGTAAGACTGATCTGATTTACAAAAAATAATAAAAAGAAATGATTTGTTCATGATCCATGGACCTGCTGTACTGAGAATGAGACATGTTGCTCACAGTGAGACAAACCAAGAGACAAAGCACTGTCAGAAAGACAACCTCTGTGGAGAAGTCATTTCTTTCCAGTTTAAGACATTTTTAATGTACAAAAAACCTGTGAGTGTTAAACAGAAAACAGCGCCAGTGTCACTTTTTGCCAGTCTGGTCAAACGATTGGACCAGAGCTATACATGTTTGTTTGTAATGCATTTTGTGTGTATGTGGGTGTTCTTGTGTGCAATCCATGTACACTTGCATTTAGGATTGAACCCCAAACTACCGCTACTTATCTTCATTGAGACAATTAAGTCTAAGCGGGTAATAATAATAATAATAACAATATTAACATCTGTTAGCTGTACTGTAAGCCACACATATTGGCGCTGAAAATGAATACAAACACATATGAAAATAAATATCAATGGATACATCTTCTGCTTGTCTGGCCAAAAAGCACAAATGCACTGATTACATACAAGTTTCTTACCAAAATGACAGACATGGAAAAGACAAAGTAAAAATAGAATATAAAAGGAAAAGAAAAAGTGTGAGAAACAGATTGTTTTATGGCCTGGTCTGGAAAATAAAGTGAAGACAAGTCTGTATTCTGCCAGGGCACAACGTCACTCCGTCACATCTGTCCGCCACGGTCAGATGAACAGGTGTGGTTAACACTTCTGAAGGCTGACACACCACAGTGTCCATCTGTCCTTCATTTAAGGACAGTGCAAACGACTGTTTATTATTCCAGCTGTTCTCAGCTCAGCACGGACACACTCCCTTTATTATCAGGTCACTGTTCTGCCTTCTGATGAGGAGAAACTCCCGAGGGTGTGAGAGGTCAGCGGGGGGGAGGGAGAGTCTTCAGGAATGGTCTGCTCAGCAGTTAATTGAGGCACAGTCTGCTTTGGCTTTCCCCGCCGAGCTGATTATACTCATGAGACAGTGTCCAAACTCCTCCAGGATCAGCCTCTCTACTTCAGCCTGAGGCTGGTGAGTCTGTTCCGCCTTTTTGGCCTGCTCCAGTAAACACTCACACGTTGCCTCCAGCACCTCCTTTGTGACGAACGTATATGGCATTCTGTGGAGGAACAAAAACAAGGCTTTAGGAAGGCAATACCCTGCAGACAATTTTGTGACATGGTAGTAGCTGTGGTGACGACACCAGCTGTTGTGTGGGCTGAGGAGCCTGATGATGTCAAGCTGCAGGAACACCAAAGCCAGCTCACAGTGCTGGCTAGAGCTTTTGTCTAACCTTATTCTTCATTTGTTCCACACTTTAATCTAACACATTTATCCTCGGTGGCACTTTAGGTGCTGTGGTATCGAAGCCAACTCCTGAACAGTTGATGTATTGACACAACACAATCACAGGACCAGCCACTGAAACTCACACTCATTGGTGTAAAAAAACAAATTCCTCAGACAACAAATATTGTACTTAGTTGTTGTAGAAAGAAAAAATCAACACTTAGAAAGTTACCATATAAAAAAAAGATTTCAAATGAGTAGTTAGCATCAGCTGACACCTGCAGTTTACTGCAGTCGGGCCATAGTGGCACCGCCGTAAAAAGTTAAATACTGACCCAGACTGACAGTCTGTCCAGAAGTGTGTTCACTAGTCTATTAATATATATGTATTACTCAGACAAAAAAAAACAGTTTTATCCTCAGCTTATTCCATTCACTTAGCTGATGTACCTTCCACCCCCACTTGAAATAACAGGCGTCGGCCGCATCAACAGGTCTGAGATCTGCGAGGACAGCTTGGTCTTGGCTGCAGTTTGCTGTTGCACTCTCACTTCTGCTGCATCTGCCAAATGCATCAGTGTCTTCCTCTCTGGGCTCTCTTCAAAGTTTTTGCAGCCAATGCATTTACAAATGGATGAGCACATGATTTTCGCCTTTGAGATGACACAAAAAAATAAGCCATTTGAAGTTATGAATAAGAATACAGTCGATGACCTGAAGAAAAGAAAGAGGGATGCGTTAGCCCACCTCGTAGCACTCGCAGTAGTTCTTTAAGCAGCCAGATCGCTTGCAGTTGCACCCTTTGCTGTGCCGGCGCTCCGACTCTCCTTCTTTCCCTTTACCAATCTTAGGTTTAAAGGCCTCTGGGTTCCGGTCGAGACATGTCTGTAGAATGTAAAGTTCGTCAGGTATTGATGTATCCATCTTAAAGTCACGCAGCCAACATGATGGAGTTCTTCCTCACCTTGATGGCTTTGAGACGTTCTGTTTCATGTTCCAGATTGTTGAAGCAGTTGTTGCAGTTACAGTTGTTGCAAAATTCACCGTTTGCAAAGCAGTCACAGTACCTGGAGAAAAGAAGAGACTTCTTTACTGAAATAACCACAGACAGAATATTTTTATGTCAAAAAAAAGCATTCCTATCTTGGTTTATAATGAACAATTTGTTCATTTATGTTAAATTATAATTGTTGTATTCCTAACAAAGTCTGACGATATCTACCTGCTGCTGCATTTTCTACAATCTATTAATAAAAAAGCCTAAGAGGAAAAAGAATGAAATTGAATTCATTTAACATCTGTTTTAGTTAAACATGCTTACTCCACCCATTTGATGAGCAACAATAACACACATGCACACATGGTAGTCTTGGGCTTCAGTCTTACTCACAGTTTGAGACACTGTGACTTTGTGCAGTTGCACGGTTTCCTTTGTCTCGAAGTCGATTCTGCTGGCGTCAAACTGAAGTGACAAAAAGATTCCTCATTAGTTGAAAGATTTCCATCTGATTAGTCAGTCTCATGATTCAAATTATCTAGAATATTGGCTTCTGTGACTCATTTCATCAAGATTGATTACAGTACACTATTGACATAAATTGTTCAATTCTAGTATACATTTCAGTAGGGTCTTAATAATGACAAATCTAAAAAAAAAAAAAAACATTGTATCTGCCAAGGCAACCAAAGGAATGTAATTCACTGAATCATGTTTTTACTCTTTATACTGCAGAAATCTATTCAGGGCATTAGATAAAAATCAAGACTTTCAAAAGCGCTTCAAGACTGGGGTTATTTTGTATTGAAGTCTTGTATCTGTGGCTGCTGATTTATCTTACCCATTAAGTGGAAGTCTGGCTTGAGTCTGGACTGAAGAGGAGGTTGTAAAACCAGAACTGGAGAGGGTCACAAACTGTGACTGCTGTAACTAAACAACGGCAGATAAAAAACAACAACACAGAGTTAACCAAGCCATACCTGTACCAGACTACTTTACATATACAACACTACATCCTGTCTTACCTGAGTCACATATTGAGCAGGCACGACTGCGTAGCCCACATTTCCACTCCCTGGAGCTGGTGCTAGGACGGTGCCTGGAGGGAGGTTGGTGAAGTTGGGCTGGATCTGTTGTAACGGGGTTGCAGGCATGATGAGGCGTTGCTGGGTCTGCGTGGTGGTCAATACTTGTGCTGAGGATGTCAAAGGCTTAGGAGCCACCTATGTAAAGTACAATTCATGTATAATTAAGAGAAAAGTCACCGAAAATATCACAGTAACATCTCGCACAAATACAGTGATGGTATACAGTACCTGTTTGACAGTCTGTGCTGGGACAATGGGGACAGACATCCTGACTGGTCCTGTACCAACCACCACAGGTTTAGCTGTGGAGCATCGGGGACAGTGAAGAACATCAGAATAATATTTTAGAAGTTTCTACCAAAAACGGTGAGTCACTGACATGTGTGAATTGTTGTGTTTGGCGCGAGTTGAACTTCGATATAAAAACACTGCCTTTAGAAGAATATTAGACCAAAGCCGGTCAATAAGTAAGATGACTTCAGTCAATTCTAATCTATATTATCAGGTGACATCCCACAGTCTATCTAACTTGGTAAATCTATATCTACCTATATTTCAATATCTAAAGATAATTTAAATACCGTAAATATAGTATTGTCAAATACAAAAAAGATTTAAAAAAAAAAAAAAATCCTCCACATGAACGTGTGTTCATCAGCTACCTGTTTGTATGGAGCTGGTACTGGGAGCACTGGGCTGTCCTGTGCTGCTCGCTGTTGTTGCTGTTACCAGGCGCACATAATGAAACCTGCTTCCTGGTACCTGGATCTGCTGCACAGTAGGCTGAGTGGCCAAGGGGATTATGGTCTTAAACTGAGAGCTGCCGACGGTCACGGATGGAACAGGTTTAATATTCTAAAAAAAAGAAAGGAAAACACTTTCACCACAGTGGTGTACTCATATTTGAAATGAAATCATGTTGAATATGTCATCATTTTATATGTATTTACATTTCTCCAATCTTAGTTTCTAGGGTGAAGACTAATAGATGTAATCACACATTACCAACAGTATAAATTCACTGAGGATTTACAATCCAAAAACAAACTATTTAATATTCACTAATCTTTCACTGACTGAAGATTTACAATCCAAAAACAAACTATTTAGTATTCACTAATCTTTCACTGACTTTACTTATCAGTTGATACAACCAGGCTGGTGGACCCAAAAGCAGAGACAGGAGAGGACGTCGGGTTAAGGTTAAGGTTGAACTATTGATCCCGTACTGGGGAAATTGTTGTGTTGCAGCAGCGTAGGGAACAAAAGGAATTTACAAATTACAACACAAAAACAACTACATTTAGAAAGATCTAGAAGAGTTCAAAATATAAAGTGCAGGAAAAATATGAATATGATACGTGATCATTTGACTGTTATTGCACTCAAACTTGTAATACCAGAATGTAGTATGATAAGGAGAATGCTAAGAGCACCTCAGTGGTAACTTGGCAGCTTGTGGACTGAACCTGAAACCTTCCGGACCCAGGTCTGCTTCCTTAACCACTAAGCCACCACTGCCCCTTGTATATGAGTATGTGTTCCTGTGAAGAGCACTGAAAAATAATACTAACAACAAGTGGCTAAAATAAACAGATTACTTTCACTCAGCAGTAGCTTTTTAAAATATCAAAGTATACTGTTTTACAATTGATTTCTGGTTAAACCTGTGAACTTTCTCTGTAAAACGGTGGGAGCAAGGCTGTAAAAGTTCCTCAGAGCTGCTGTATTCAGACCTGGGTGGCTCATACCTGGACAGTGGGCTGGCTTGTGGCCACCTTGACTGGAGACACAGGCGTGGTCTGCTGGACTGTAAGGATCTGCTGGCCGAGTGCTACGTTGACAGGTAACGCCACCGACTTCTGGGAGGAGTTGGATGTAGGTGAAGCCACAGATACAACAGTGACCTGGCAAAGACCAGAAAAGACGTAAGAAAATATTAGATATTTAGCCAGTGTAAATGACCCATTAGCATTACCACAAGGCATCTGGGCTTTGTTCACATACACAGTCCAACTGAGCAAGGTGGTAGATTCATTTTCCTGTGATATATTTACTGAACCAACATCATAATAAAGGTAACTGTAGTATTTACCTTGCTGGGAGTTTTAAGCGGTGAGATGGCGATCTTTTTGCCAGGGATGCTCTGTAAGCTGCTGTTGTGAGGCTCAGACAGAGTAATGGTCCTCGCAGGCACCACCGGGGAATTCTGCGTCACAACCCGTCCTGTAACAACACAAGATCTGAAAACATTTCCTCTATACACAGAGAACAGATCGCATTTCAATCTGTTATTAAAATAAAACAGATCTTGAGAATGTGAAATAGTTCATAGTGTCTCACCAGCTATAACTGGAGGAACTGACGTCTGAGGACTGAGGCTTTTGCTGTTAACCGTTTTTGTGATGATAAACTTGATTGGTGTGCCTGAGGAGACTGGAGTTTTCTTAGCAATCTGAGGAAACAGCCCAATAAATCAGTGCACGTTGATTCATTCAACATAATGTTAAACAGCATTGTCATTTGATAACGACTTTTTTTTTAAATGTTCCTAACTAATGTATTACCGATGTGTCATCAATACATCAAAAACACATCAATAATGAAACAGTTATAGTAGTTAATAGTACCCATTAGTAACTTTTGGTCACTAAAGGGGGTGTTTTCAGAGCACCACATTTCACACTGTGTAATTAATTTCAGTATGGACTTTGCTGTCGTGAAGAACAAACATGTATTTAATCCTGACAAATGAAATATTTGAAATGTGGGATATAAAAAAAATTGCTAATAATTGATTCTTAGGGAGAAATGTTATGATTGTATTTAAAAAGGTCACATATAAAACAATATTGTTTTGTTAACCTCCTTCTTAAATCATACATTACAACAAATAGAACCCCCCCCCCCAGGAAATAGTGAGGGTTTTTGCATAACCAAAAGGGAAATTATACATGCAATAATAATCATAAAGAGTGAAAATTAAGAACTAAATTATTTTTTTTGTTAAATGATACTAATAATACCAAATTTAAATATACAGCCCCCATTTTAGATTTCTTTTTTCACAGTTTTTACCTGTACAGCCTTCAGCTGCTGGGCCTGAACCGTCGTCAGCTGGTTTGCAGGACTGCCCACCACAGGCTTCAACTCCGACCTTCCACCAATCGTCAGCACTTTAAAATGTGGTACCGGAGACTTTAGGTCTCCTGAAGTCTGTGAAGCGCCAGGCTTGCTGGTCATGTGAGGTAACTGCAGCACTATAGGCTGCCCTGGCTTTCCTATTGTTGTGACCAATAATTTTTGTCCATCTTGCTTGATGACCTGTTGCAGAGTTTCTGCAGGCTTTGTTGCTTCCGTGGCCTGTGATGAGGCTACCTTGTTGAGGATAATTTGGTGGTTGGCAGGAGAAATGGTAAAGGGAGCCTGGAGCTTCTGTAGCCCACTGGTAGAAACAGTCGTGGCAGTCACACTGTCTGTCGTTTTAGTGGTGGCTGTGGATATAGACAGCGCTGGTTTTAGAGTAAGAAGGGATGATGGTGAACCTGATATTAATACATGACTTTCCGAGCTGATTCCGAGTGCAGAGTCTGTGGGTGTGGGTGTGGATATTGATGTGGAAAGAGTTTGAGCAAGTTTAACTGAGGTGGCATCTGGACACACTTTCAGATTTTCTGCAGGTGTATCCGTTTCCATGGGAACTGGCGTGTCCACACTGGCTTCTGACTGGACCATGGCAGAGACAGGTTGGGAGTGAGGGACAACCTCAATGGCCTCAGTATCCATGATCTCATCAGGCAGAAGGCTGTTGAGCTCTGGTGACACCACATCCATGCCTGAAACGTCTCAGCTCTCTCTCGGTCCTGAGAAGAATAATAAAAAAAATAAATAACAGTAGTACGAATATTTTTCCATTGTCACAATCAAAAGTATATACTGTAATTACTCAATACTAGACATGAGGCAAGAACACTAACCACTCTTACATTAACCTGCCCTAGATCAGTTATAGTAAGTTAAAACATACCAATTATATTTATTTATAGTTTAAAATCTCATCAGATGTGTTTTTTAAAGATTTTAGTACATGTTGAACAAAAAAAGCACTTAAAACATAGTAGACATTAGATTTGGCTGACACATTAGAAATTACTGCTGGTTCTACTAACATGTGTTCTCTTCTTACCAGGGAATCTTTCCATCTTCAAGTAAACAGAAGACAATGTATCACGTACAAACTAAAGACTCACCTAGGGAATATACATGTACAAATTCCATTTGTTCAAAAATAGAACTAGTATTTGGAGAAAAAAAGAAAAATGCATTTATCACTTCTTTTAAAATGCTGAGAATCAGAAACAGCAGAACTTTGTGAGAAATTACCTTAAAAGCTGCTTTTGGTCATTCATGCTAATCAGAATAATGAACCTCCCACTTTATGACAATAATTATGTGCCATCTTTAGCAGTAAGAGTTTTTTTTTCCTAAAATGACTGGAAGACAAATATAAGATCATGCTGCCAGTTAGGACTTTATGGCTCTACTCGCATAAAAAACAAAAACACACCTCGGTTTTATACTTGTGTATACTGTTTTAACAGTCAACTGTGATTTGATTAAGAATCACGCGTGCGTGACTTACATTTAACTCTTACTGTTTTGACGAAAGCTGACAGCTGACCGCAGATTTGCTAGGCCGCAACGATCATGAACACTTATCTTTATCCTGCTGCTGCTCTCTACAAAACATAATCCAGCCATTGTCGAGACACGCATAGAACCACGGTCAACAGCTTCTATTGTTTACTTAGTTAAATCTGTTCTGTACTATTTTCCTCAACAAAGCACCATATAAGATACGGATGGGATCAAGAGAGAGAAAAATACGCCGTACTGTTTGTTGGCTGCGTTTCTATTTCAGGCCAGGGTTGGATTTCGAAAGATCCGCCATTTTTACCTCGTCATCAGCTCGGTTAGCTCCCCGGCTAACTATCCCTGAGTAGTAACGGTGAGGTGTTACATGTTATATGCAATTGGCAAAAATAATAACCGTGCAATAACCGTTCCGTTAGACTACTGCTGATTAAAACTGTCATTCCTAGGACAGATACTGACAGCTATTAGCTAACAATAAACTCTTGCAACATAAACAATGCTAGCATTCACTAATACCCCATACTAACACAGAAACTTAGTTACGAACATGACAAACCCAATTAAACCGCCGAGTTTACCAGATTAACTATTTATTTGGATAAATAGTAAACAGTTTCTAGTTCGCAAGGTCCAACTACACATAGTAAAAAGTATTTTCTCAGTAAACGTTGCCAATACCCAATATTTATATACAGGTTTAGCTAAGGATCGTGGAAAAACTAAATACTGACACTTTTCAATAGCACACGGAGACAGTGTTACTGTTTGTTAGTCTCACCAAAACAACTGTCAACTGAGCTTTACTTTACCGTTGCAGCGAGTTGGCCAAATGTCATTAAGTCACCCATTGTAAACTTTATTTCTGCGCAAACAATATTACATTGGAGCGGCTGCAGTAAAATTGCTATTCTTGTGTGAATTATCTACATATTTAACATAATCGTAGACATCACCCCTCTCATCATCATCATCATCATCATCATCATCAGCCTCCTGAGCGGTAGTCCAGTGACCACTACAACCGTAGTAGTGAGCTTGCTAACCCTCAGCTAGCTAGCTACAACAACATTATAACTCCTCATTTAAACACATTCGCAAATATGTAGCATTTCACTGAACACCGCGTGGTGAAGTCCAGAACGGGGCAGAAGACTGGCGAGCTTACCGGAGATTTTTGCGTTGAGCAACGTTTCCAGATAAAATGAGGAAAGGAAAGGGCGATTGTTCAAAATACCGCGCCGAGCGCCATTCTTCCCTGACATTTCACAGGCCGACCACGCCCTCACGGGCTTACGTCACAACACGTAACACTTAAAGCCAAAGGCCATCAATTGCAAGACCAACAGCCGTAACAACAACAAAAAAAAGATTGGAAAGGATAATTAAAATGATCGGTTTGTCAGATAATGTGATATGTTTATTACGGTGGCCGTGAAGGTAATAAAAACCACAAGGATATTTTCAGGAAATAAAGAAAATACAAAGCCATTTCAGAAAACAAATAAACATTACAGAAAACAGCGACATTTCAGATTACGGAAAGGGACAACATTCCATGTTTCTGGTGGAACAGAACCCTGTGCTGAAATGTAAGTTGATGTAATGTGAAGTTCACAGGAATCTATTTGATTTCAAGAAAACTGGGAATTTTTTTTAATATGCAGTACATTTTCCAGGTCCTTACCAAAACTTACATTATTATTTTTTGCAATAATAAAAGCAAAAGTTTACTTTACTACATTTTTCAAAATGTAATCTAAAGCCTTTTGACAAAATGATGGCCACGACCAAAAATCAAGAGATGAGATGAGAGAGATGCTTAATAATGCCTACTAATTAAATGATAAGAGCAAAAAACAAAAAGTTAGTTAGTTGTTTGTACCTTCTTTTTTAGGTATTTATTATTATTATTATTATTATTATTATGTTGCACACAAGATGTATTTATATATGGGCTGCATGTCATGGTTGTTGGAGGACCGGCCTACGTGAATCCTATCGCCGCTCTTGGCAGCAAAAGCCGCCTCTTGCTGACACTTCGTTGAGGACAATGGCAACCGAAGTAAGGCAGGAGCTGTCTCAGCTGATGAATTCAAGCGGATCCCACAAAGATCTTGCAGCCAAGTATGTAGCACTTACTCTATAGCAAGATATTAACGTGATCACATGTATTAACAGAATTCGTATTTATTTAGATAATAATGTACAGTCGGTAACAGTGAGTTAGCAATGGTAGACTAGCCATGCTGACTTAAGTTAGCCGCCTAGCTTTGTTGGTGTCTACAGAAACAACATTGAACGTCCAGGATTAAAACGTATCAGTTCACTAAAGCACAAGGACTTTAAAACATTGAACGTATTCTTCTCTAAACTACAATAACACGAGAAAGCTCTGTTTACCATTAATAATACAGTTATAACATGTTAGCAAGGCGCTACTGTTTTGCTACACAGGGCATGCTAAAAACTGACATCGTTAAAATGTCTCCATTGAAAGTTAAATGTGAAGTCAGCGTCTGCAAATAACAGCTGCAAGAAACACGAGAGCCATAAAAGAGCCTTCTATGTTTACAACCTGCTTGTCTTTAAAAATAGAGTTGTTTGTAAATTATGTTTACGATTTTGATGACATTTGAATGTAACCCTGGACATGATAGTGATTGGACGTCTATATATTTCTGTGTCTGGTTGATGTTGTGCTTCTTTTATGATAATTATTGTTTCTAGTTTCAAATATAAACTGTAAGATGGACATTAAATTGTCATTTCACAAGGCTCTTAAAAACATTTGGAAATAGTTTTACCATCTTTGAAATACATGTATTGTCATATATTTATATTCATTTATATTTATATATTCCTTGTCAGTTGAAAAGCCAATATTACGTGTCAGTTGAAAAGCCAACTTTTTTTTACCTGTCATCTTTCCTAGATATCGACAAATTTTGGAGAAGGCCATTCACTTTACTGATACAGATCAACTGGAATCTTTGAAAGCTTTTGTTGAAGCAAGTATGGTGTTACCTAAATTTTCTCTTTATTGTGGTCAGAAAAAACTCTGAATATTTTGCTGTGAATATTATTGGAGGTCCACAATTTGGACATTACAAGGACATTCCTCAACAATGATATTTCTCTTTTCACAGTGGTCAATGAAAATGTTAGCCTTGTTATTTCGAGGCAGCTGCTCACCGATTTCTGCACACACCTGCCAAACTTACCTGATGCTACAGCTAAGGCTGTGTACCACTTTACTTTGGAGAAGATTCAGCCAAGAGTCATTTCCTTTGAGGAACAGGTGAGTATTCATTGTGGATGATACAATCTGCAGCTTATTCACACACTTAGACTTTATAGTGATAAATATTTTCTCTTTTTAAATCTAGAATTCTGGCAGAATAGAGATTACACATTTGTTGAAGTACACCATCCAATCTTTCTGTAAACTTACTTTCTTTTCTCATACAGCACAGGCTGTAGTTGTATGCCAATGGTGATTGGTTAATGACTTAGGGGCTACTTACTAAAGAAAGAATGTAATTGGAAGAGAATGAAGAATATGTCACTCTAAACTCATTGTAGAACCTTTACCCAAATGATAATCAGCTGCTGATTCAGCATCTAGTAAAACAACCCGTGAGGGATTGTAGGTCTCTCTTGGGGAAACTACTACTTTATTAGCTTGTGGACGATATGGTTCTTATTAGATTGTCCTGCTCTATTTCAAATCATCAGCATGGATTTCTTTTTGTGCTTACTGTCTACAGGTAGCTTCAATTAGACAGCACTTAGCAACCATTTATGAAAAGGAGGGAGACTGGAGGAATGCTGCTCAAGTATTAGTTGGTATTCCTCTGGAAACAGGACAGAAGTAAGTAAATGACTGCCAAATGAGTTTCTTGATCCTTCACACTGTTTAATAATATAGTATCATTTAACCATCTTTCTATAGGCAATACAATGTCGACTATAAGCTGGACACATACCTGAAAATTGCTCGGCTGTACTTAGAAGATGACGATCCAGTGCAGGCGGAGGCATACATCAACAGAGCCTCACTGCTACAGAACGAATCCTCTAACGAACAGCTGCAGATACATTATAAGGTATGGTCTCCAACAGAATCAAGTTGGAAAAGATACAGGTTTCAAAGTCCTTAAAATGCCAAAGACATAAAAAAAAAAGATTAAAATAAAATCTAAATAAACGCCAATATTCATTTTTTTCAGGTTTTACTGTAAGCATCTGGTTATTGCTACACAAATGGAAAGAGCAGTACCAGCAGCAGTTTCTGTTTGTTGCCGTGGTCTGGAAACACACAGACATCTAGCTTTAACACATCTTAATGATGGGTTAGTGCAGACAAAACTAAAGTTGGCTTTTTAAGGGGATTTTGAGGCTTTTGGATCTGGCATTAAAAAAAGCCCTAAAGAGTGTGAAGTTTCTCCCACATTAGACTGCAAGAAAACTGAAGACCAATCAACAGCGGTATTTAGAGCCTTTGTACATTTCACCCACAGTTTTTTCAAACATACCATAGGATAAAGTCTGTCTAGTTCTTGAATAAACATGAGTAGGGTTTAAAAAAACCAGACTGCAGATCATACCATAACATGTCATACAATGTACCAGCAGCTGAGGATAACCTTTCATGAATATTACTGTATATATATTTGATTGCATAAATACTTCCTTTAATACTCCTGTCTTAGGTGTGTTACGCAAGAGTCTTAGACTTCAGGAGAAAGTTCATCGAAGCTGCACAGAGATACAACGAGCTGTCCTATAAATCCATCGTACATGAGAGTGAACGTCTGGAAGCACTAAAGCATGCACTCAACTGCACCATACTGGCCTCTGCAGGTACGGTCATTAATAGAGAGATTCACAGTCCTTAAACCTCTGGAAGGAGTCTTTATATTAACCATATAAACCAGTGCAATGTAAAAAAAAAACAATTTCTTTCATCCACTGACTAATTCCACCATCTCCCGTTATGATGGGTGATTCACAAATTATATTTCTTCTGATGATTAGGGGTGTGTGTTGGCAAGAATCTGGCGATTCGATATGTATACACGATACGGGGCAACAATACTATGTATTGTGATATACTGCGATACTATAGGCATAACAATATATTGATGTTTTTTTAAAGCTATTTAATTGTAGAAAATCTGTCGCACAATACTGTTAAATGAACTATCTTGATGTATCGGATTCAATATATTGATATTTTCTCATACTCGTGTAGATTTTAAGCAATTTAAATAAATAAATAAAAATATATAAATGTCATTCTGTAGAGTGTACAGTAGTAGTTTTTCTTTTGCAGTTTAACTGCTTAATTGTAAGTGTAGATAAAAACAGCTGCCCTGTGTCGTTGTTTTTTTCCTAGGTCAGCAGCGCTCCCGTATGTTGGCCACACTCTTTAAGGATGAGCGCTGTCAGCAGCTGGCTGCCTATGGGATTCTAGAGAAAATGTATCTGGACAGAATCATCAGAGGAAATCAGCTGCAGGAGTTTGCTGCCATGTTGATGCCTCACCAGAAAGCCACCACTGCAGATGGTGAGTAGCAATAACTGCATGGTTTCACAGTCTTACCGAGTTGTTTTTCTATAAACTGTCTTTTTTTTTACATGTACAGAAACCAGAGTGCTTCACTGTACATAAACTATTCCCTCAGTCATATGAATATTTCACTCATCAATGTTATTTTGTTCGAATTTGACTATTCCCTTGTGTCAAGGTGGTAGATTTAACCTTTGAGGTGTTTTTCTAACACATCACATGATTATGACGCTAATGACAGCCGTAGTACCAATGGTGTTGCTGCAGTGCCTGCCGCTATTACATTAACATGCTCACCATTGCTCTGTATAGCCCTTGGTCTTTTGTTTTAGGTCAAATTTAAAGTTTGACTGATTAGGTAAGAAATACAATACTTCAAATATTTTTTTCAGTTAAGACTGAATTGCTGTTACCTGAAAGGTCCATTGGCCTGGCAGAGCATGATATTGTTTTTTATTATTATTATTGTGCATGGAACCATGTGAGAGAAACTTGGCTCTCACTTAGCAAAGCTACTGCATTTCTGCTTCTGAACTTATGTGTAAGTTCTGTCAAATAAATGTTGGCGTGAAAAAATGCACCAATAAGTCCCGTTTTGCGAAACTGCAAATAATGTTGGATTTCCTGTGGTAAATTGTATAACAGTGGTGAAAACTTTACCTTAAAGCTTTATGAGACCTCATGGCTATAAATTGCTGTGGATTTCCTGACAAATGTGATATTTCACTCTAGTAGTCCTACTTCTTGAACCAGGACTGTTTCTCAACAGTGCTGTATATCAAAAACGTTTGCTGTATGAAAACCAATCAAGACAAAATTTTCCTATGTCTGTCCTTTCATCTGACTGCAGCCAAAGACATTCGTTGTTTTCCACTAAAACATTTTTCTTAAATGACGTTGTCATACCATATCTGAAATACACATTTCTAACATTTCGACGTCACTCACCAACCTGACATAACTGTCATGTCACTATGTTCCATTCTACATTGTTCACTGGGACTGTCTGCATCCCTCTGGTGTAGCAGGGAAAAGAAAATCCTAATAATGAGACATTTAAAATTAATGGTGGATCCAGCTTACAGCAGTGAAGGTCAACCTGACTTGACAAAAGTAAACAGGACTACTCTGCTGTCATTAATTATGGAGTCAGGATGATTGATATTGGGATTACTCCTAGCTATCAACTCCTTGCCCTGAACACAGTGTAGGACCACCATGGGAGGACCCTTGATGTGCCAGAGAACAACAAGAGTTTATTTCAAGTCTCCCATGTATGGTCATTGAACAGCTGGTGTCTTCAGATTGGCTCCACAGTTCTCTCACATATACAGGGTTAGGGGAAAAAAACGTAGTGGGAACGATCTTCAGCCGTGCTTCCAAGAACTTTGCTATTGTTTGCAAGATATTCCCCCGAATGAGTCAATGTGCTGCAGAACACACCTCAATAAATCATACTGAGACCCAAAGTTTGGAAAATGTTATTTAACTTTGAGCTATCTTTTTTCCCCCTCTCCCAAACTCCTCTGGCTCCAGGCTCCAGTATCCTGGACAGAGCTGTGATTGAACATAACCTGCTGTCCGCTAGTAAACTCTACAACAACATCACGTTTGAAGAGCTAGGAGCTCTGTTGGAAATTCCTCCAGCTAAGGTGAGACGTGACTACGTAGATCAACAATTTCATGCAGCCCACAACAAAGTCATGTTGGTTCCATCCTGTACTTAGAAAACCAACATGTGTGTGTGTTCCTTTAGGCAGAAAAGATCGCCTCCCAGATGATCACTGAAGGACGCATGAACGGATTCATCGACCAGATAGATGGCATCGTTCACTTTGAGAGTGAGTGATTACATTTTTTTCCGATTCAATAATTATCGTCATTCAAAGCCATAGTTTCACACAGTGAATGTAATTGCACCAATAAGTCCATCTTGAGGCAGTGGTGGCTTACTGGTTAAGGAAGCAGACTTGGGTCCAGGAGGTTTCAGGTTTGAGTCCACCAGCTGCCAAGTTACCACTGAGGTGCTCTGAGCATGGCACCGTCCCCACACACCAGGGGAGCTCCCTGGTCCTTAAAGCTGCCCACTGCTCACTTTGGTGATGGGTTAAAGCAGAGGTCACATTTGGTTGTGTGACACTTTCCACTTTCCCTGTGGCTAACATACAGCTGCTTCAAGTTGATGAACTGTGTACCTTTGTACGGCCAGTAGGGGGAACCCTCTAAAAAAACATGTTGTTTACCCTTTTGATGAAACACAGATCTGTCTGTTCACCGTCTCCTCCTTTGTTTTTGTTCATTTCTTTTGGTCTTTTGCAGCCCGTGAACCTCTTCCTACCTGGGACAAACAGATCCAGTCATTGTGTTTCCAAGTAAACAACCTCCTAGAAAAAATCCGACAGGCCGCTCCAGAGTGGGCCGCACAGGCTCTGGAAGCCCAGATGACCCAATAAACATTCCCAACAGTCAAGTTTTGTCTGCCTGCTCGACCACATCACCACTTTTTTTACTGCAGTGCAGTGGAACGCTCTGCTCTGGTCAATCTGGAATCTGGAAAATCTCGATCATCTTTTGTTCACTCAGATGAGAGTTGGCTGTGTGTCTCAATATTCATTATCTGTATCAGAATCAATTATACAGATAATTACTGAAGAGATATTATTAACCTTGGACAATGACTTTGGACACTTTACATGGTTGTCATGATTAAAATAAAATAAAAACCCTGAAGTTTAATGTCCTGTCAATGGTTTTTGTGTTCTCTCACTTTTGTTTTTCAAATTATGTATGAAGCTTAGTTTGTGTCTAAGGACCCCTGGTTTACTGAATTGTGTACATTTCTCAATCCACCTGTATGAAAAGAATTAAATTAAAGGTTGAGAGAAGTTGTTCAGCTCGCATTTTCTTTATTTTTACTTAAAAAGCTGTTCGACACTGACAGTCTTATCAAACACGACTTTTGTTGGTTATTTTTTCATGCCAGTAATCTCAACAGCTCCACACATTGGTGGCCAACCAGTCGGGAGGCTCAGGACATTGTCATGCACTAGTCTCCCCCAAATAAAAAAGTGAGAAACATTATGACACTTTAAAGTTTTATACCATGTTATCTTTTAATCATTAACAAAGTGAGTATAAATGGTTGGTTGTCTCAATTGGTGATCATAAATGTGGTGGTCACCTGTGCTCTGGTTTTTGTTAAATGTCAAGGAGGCTTGGTAATGAAAGATTGAATACACACCTCAAACACAGGGATGATTTTTTTTTTGTTTTCAAGAGTATTATTCCATCAATCATCAGTGTTGACATTTAAATTTATTAGTTGAAGGTCTACAGTGTTTTATTGCCCTTCCATATTGATTTGTCGTACCATAATAATCCATTAGGTTCTAGCATTGAACTTTGAGCATCACCACTGATACGGTACCTGTGTGTTGATAGACCCAACTGCTTAGCAATGATTTACATCAATTAATTTACAGTATGTGTGAATTCAGCAAGTACTGGTGATTTCTGACAAATCCGATTGGTTGCTTTGACACAGAAACATCGGTGAAAATGTTTGTTTGTGTTCTCATTATTCATACCAACGCACATTTCCTAATTAACTCAACACGCAAAGGGAACTGGATTTTATTGTCACTAGTCTTTCTTCTCGGAGTGTGTGACAGTCCCAGGGTGTGCATGACTCTCTCGCAGCATCTAGAAAGCATTGAGGAAGTGTGTTAATGGTCCATCCTTTCCGACAGCTTCATAAAGTTTCAAATATAGCATCTATTCTCTCACAAACTTTATATTGTCCGTGGTTAGCTCGGTGTGTGTGTGTTAACAAGCTCACTCAAAAAATGCCCTGGTCCTTTCTACGGTCGATGTCTCTCTTCAGTTGACAGGTGGCACAGATGGTACAACACAGGGTCACCATGTAGTCCTTTAACAGTGAGCCCTGGAGAGGCAGTAAAAGGTGAGGCTGCGCTCAGTGACTCACACTGAATTACTGCATTTATACAATCAGGGATAGACCTTCTGTTTGCCAGGGGAGGTGTTTATGACATTCACCACAGGATGTTGCACCTTTGTTCACTGTGCACGAACAAAATCTTTCTAAGAAGTCACCTAGTGACATGCTAAAACTTTTATTGAGTAGGTAAGAGGAAAAATAAAACATTAAAACAAGAGAATTTGTCAACAGTCAATATGAGAAAGATCGTGCTAAACCGACACGTATCGTTTCTAAAAGTCAGTACACCCAACTTTAAAATCAGCTACACAGATATAGTAGTATATAAATAATTAGACTACAGTATTAGCCAAAGCCTCACTGTACCACAATGTAGCAGTACAACTACTTCATACAAGTACTTCATTTATAATCCACTCACATACACACACTAGTGCTCAGCTCGGTGGGTTCACTCCTGCCCATCACCACTGTCTCCACTCACCTCGATGTTGTACCGTGTCCTGTAGACACTGCGTATGGCCATGCTGTGACCACACAGACAACACTCGTCCATATCACTGGCAATGGAGCAGCCCATACATGGGAAGCAAAACATGCCAAAACAGCCTACAAAGTGAGATTGGGAAAATATAAATGAAAAGTTGTGATCCGCTATAAGAGAATTAAAAAATATCTGGAGGATCTGCCTCGCTTTTGACCCCCCGACCTTTGACTGAAGTCATTGCTGACAGCAGCAGTCAGTGTCTAATTGCAATATGTCTTTTAAATGAAAAATAAATCAATAACACATCCAAAAAAATACTACATGTATTTGCTGGATAGGGATGAAGGTGGACAGGAAAGGTAGAGAAAACCAAAGGTATTTCGATTTGGTTTTTCAGATTTCAAGATTTGAAACTGGAGAGACCGGAGACTAGAAATAGTTAAAATTTTGAAGTATATTTTGGACTGTCGTCTTCTTGGAAGGCGGTCCGTGGCGCCAAAAAGTTTGGGCACCGCTGCTCTATCACACCTTAGAAATCAAATGACAATATCTTCTAAACAATGTAAAAAACAATTAAGAACTTTAATGATGGTGTAAAGATGTGTCTTGGTATAAAGTCTGAAAAATCTTCTGTGTTAATTTTTTTTGAACATTTTGAAAAAAAAAAAGAGTGAAAGCGTGAGCGTTGTTTGTGGTCTTACAGGTTCCACAGTCATCGCAAAAATCACATAGGCCCGTCTGAAAGTCGGACGGTTGGTATCGGCCTGGTTGTGTAGTGACAGCCATAATCAGGATAAAAACTGTACGTCTGTAGGAAACAGAGTTGGTCACTGGCAGAAGGTCTTCTGAACAACCATTAACTTTACTCTAAAGAGCGGTAGACTCTTTAAATCCAATATAAATTACAGGTAAATATAAATTACATTGGTTTAAAACTTGTTGGAATTTCTACAAACTTGTGTTAAAGAGGTCAAACTTACCAGATGGAGGGAAAGTTGAAGAATAACAGATTTGAACAAGGACAGAAGGAGTCTGTATAACTGACCAAAGCCAGTGAGTCACATTTTTATAGGTATATTGTGTGTAGATCACGCCAGCAAACACCCCCCCACACACACACAAGGTGTGGTTGAGTCACAAAGATTAGGTTTTATGAACACAGATAGAAGATAATACTGCGGACAATCCAGAGTAATACGTATGAATCAATAATATAGGTGACATTTACATAAAAAACATTCAACTTTAAGTTTTTACATACGTATAAGAGCCTTGTTATACTCTTGCCAGACACAAGGGGGCAGTGCATTCCACTGTCTGGCGGCTGCCCGCACCGGTCTGTGCAGAAGGAGCGGTAATGACGACCTGACTGTAATGATATGGGCTACTACATAATGAGCAGCTGTAACTGTAGCTAAGGAATAAGCATGATTTTCAATTTCCGACAGACTAAAGATAGACTAAGGGTAAATTATACCGAAAACGCATGGGGTTGCTATTAGCCTACACTAAAGCAGACCCTTTAGTTCAGCGTTTCTCCCGCCTTCAAAGTTAACCCCCGAGTGTTGTTGTTGTTTCTAGATAATGTCATTCAAACCTGTGTCTGTTGTTTTGTAGCTAGCCTCAGCTTTCACTGGTTTCATTAAGGCCACCATTATAAATCCCGCTGTTCTGTGTTCTTGTTGTGTTGTTGTTGTTAGCTACTGTATATTTTCTATGAATCGCCTGTTCCTACTTGTGGCCGCTGGGTGATTTGTTTAAATTGTTTTCTTACCATATTGCATTTCAGGGAAATGTAGTATTTAAGGAGTCCGAGTTATATTTGGGGTTTAATTGGCATCAACATATAACGAGAATCTAACTGAACAGCAAAACAATACAAACTAAAGAGGGAAACTGAGACAAAGAACATTCAGTACTGCACTTCATTATTAGATCTACTTTTAAAATAAAGAGAGTAAAAAATTCAATTGAAGAAATGAATGAGTTAGATACCAGTAATTACCAAAGGTCTGTGGAAGAGGGTCTTCTGAAGGAGGGCTACAGAGATCATTGAAGTAAGGATAAAGAATGGAAAAGGAGATGTTTGATTTTGTTTGTCAGAGTTAGTGTCTTATCAGTTAATCCCCAAGACAGGAATTGTGATGTGTGTGAAGTTCCCGAACATCTTAGATAAACATCAGACACGTGACCCTAGAGCTGGACCGAGATCTTTCAATGATGGAGTCTCTGAGCAAGTCGGAGAGAACGTAGAAAGTTCGCATGTCGTCTCATTTTAAAGAATCAATAATTTACTCTTTACCACAGTAAGAAAGGTTTAATATCCATGAAACTACATGGCATTTATATTTAAGACATGTGAAAGTTGTTGGCTTGTAAACTTGTATCCACGGCAGTTCTTTTACTCCTGTGGTGTTTTTTTACAGTGTGGTACAGCTACTTCTACCAATGAAAAATCTAAATACATGTGCACGTCGCATGTCCAAAGGAAGAATCCACTGGTTTCATATTATACTGTATATACTATAACTACCATGTGTTTTTCATATAAAGCTGTAACTAACTGTCAGCAAGGGAAATATGAAGCACAAGAATTCCCTTTCAATTGAGAGAAGTGTATATTACAGGCGAAGCAAAGAATGTGACATACTGGCCCTATGCAACACTCTTTAATATATATATATCTATATATATGTATATATATATACATATATATATATCTGTTTTTCTTTTATATATATATGTGTATATATATATATATATACATATATATATTACAGGCGAAGCAAAGAATGTGACATACTGGCCCTATGCAACACTCTTTAATATATATATATCTATATATATGTATATATATATACATATATATCAGTTCCCCTTGAAGGGCCGAAGACTGCATAGCTGCAACTACTCCATAGCCTATTAATATATGTTTCTGCAACTGAAAATTATTTATTGAAGTTAAATTGTTTATCACTGTGTTATAAAATAAATGTATTACTTACTCATTATTAAATGTTTTTTTAGCTCACACGGGCCATACAAAATGACTTGGCGGGCCGCATTTGGTCATTCGGTTTGATGCACAAATATATTAAAGCTTATTGTAAAAATGTAAGTGAAAAAACAATTTGAGAAGACAAAGGCATCCATTATGTGTACACACAATAGCAATATTGAAAAATACTATATCCTAACTGGGTTGACATATACCAGAGTGGAAATACTTAATACTAATTTAAGGTTCTGGTCATGATAGTGTGGGAGTGGTTACTGCTCTTGCCTTAGAGCACAGAGATCATGTGTGGGTTTTCTCCTACAGACCCAAAAACATAGAGAATAAGGTAAAAAGCTCTCTCTAACTTGAGCAGATTCAGGATTAGGATGGAGAGGATGAATGTAGGTAAGGTTTACACTGAATGTTCTTCATCAGTTTTGTGACAGTCAAGAAGACAGATCATACACATCAGTGTATTTTTCCCACATTGGAAAATAAATAAATAAATGATTTTAATTTACTGCGCCCTCCCATGCATGCATCTCACTGCCCCCTGAATAGTGTCTGCCCCCCACTTTAAGAACCCATGGTGTAAAATGCGCTATTTTACACCATGGGTTCTCAAAGTGGGGGGCACACCCACTTAATGGTTTTCTTCATGTTATTAAAAATTGAACTGTGGACTTCTTCCTGGCAGTGATGACGTAGGTAGTATTGATAATTCAGTTTCCCTTCCTCGTCTGATGTTAAATACTGACTTAGTGCTTAGACTAGATGCTCATGTGACGACCTATGGCAGCAGACACGTCAAACCGTTGACTCACAGCATGGACTAAACACATGTGTAGGTGTTCCGTTCCATTACTCCGGGCCGGTTTCCCCTCGCCTACTCTTTATGGGGATTTTCTCGAAGGGCTGAAGAAGTTAAGGTGTTATTTCAGGGCAGCTCTCAAGATAGACATGCGCACAGCTGATGGAAGAGTGAGAGGCACATCTGCACTGACGTCAACCCCACTCTCCCCCACTATTTGCCCCCCTCCTCCCCCCAGCCGCAAAAAGCTGCCAATTTGAAGCTGTCCGAGTCTAGGACATACCCGGTCTGTGTAGTGTGGAGCAGCAGCAGCAGCAGCAGCAGCAGCTCCAGGCCAACTTTGGTGTTTGCATGCACTTTCTGTCAGGCGGTTTGTGAGGTGGCAGAACAACCCCCTCTGCACCCTCAACTTTTTTGCGCCAACTTAAACCACCTACAGCAGCAGCAGCAGCAGCACATCTGCCACCACCACCTCCACCACAGAGCAGCACAGAGCCCAGATGATAAAGACGACTGATTAGGCTGAAAATAGACCTTGGAGGAAATCCAAGACTGTGAAAGGCTGTCTTTTCCCCCCTTCCCGTGACAGTGTCTCTGGTGTGAGACAATGCTGCTGCTGCTCTGAGTGGGAGACTCACTGGCTGCACTGTGTTTGAGGAGAGGATGGCACAGTTGAGGAGGAGATGAGGAGAGGGGAGCTGAGGAGGTCTATGTGCGGAACTTCACGGCCCTTTTGTCCCGAGCTCGAGCTCTCCCTGCACAGTCGGAGCGGAGCTGACAACATGAAGATGAGCATGGTAACTTTATCTCTCCCATTACACTCCCCCTCCGCTCTGCGGCTCAGAGCAGGACGGTCTCTTTCCGGGCACTTTCTCTCTTCTTCTTCTTCTTCTGTTCCTTCTTCACCTTCTTCTTTCTTTACTTCTTCTCCTTCTTTTTCCTCTTCTTCTTGACTTTTTCCTCTTCGTTAGGGACAGATTAGTTTGAACATCAGTTTGATATCGTTTAGAAGGAAACCTTCATGTCAGACAGGAACTTTTGCACACGCGTAGTTTGAATGTTAAGTGTAGTTTTGGAGACGTTTACGCACCATATTGCGGTGCAGTAGTGTCACTCCTGCAGGACGTCCACGCTACTCAAACTTTTCCTGATGAACTTTCTTTTAAACCCACTCACTTCCCTCAGTGAGTGCAGACTCACAGGCGGTTCCCGGGGCCGGGAGTTCTACGTTTTTGACGTACCGGTGCAGCGCTCACAGACTGGCAGCTGCAGTCTGGATCTTAGTGGCCAAGTAGGTAGCGCCGTCTGACTGTCCGTGTGTGCCTGCAGCTCGGGAGAGTCAGTCAGCGGGTACAGGTTTAGCACACGCCGTCTGTCATCGGTGTTTCCACTGGGCATCATCATCATCCCGGAGCCGCTGAAGTTTGTTTATAATTCTGCCCTTTTAGCGCACGCTGCGTGTCAGACGCGCCACAAATGAATCTACTGGTCTGTGTGTCTGTGTCTGTCCTTCTCTGTGGTTCACACGGTCTGTTGTAGCCCGTGGTCATTTAACTGTCCGGCAGAACAGAGCGTGATGAACTCAGCACTGAGACTTGTTCTAGTTTAATTCATTCACCACACAGGCTAAACCAGATGACAACATCACATTTCATCACTGACTTTCAGCCGTTTCCTGCTTAAGTGAATCCTCAATTTGTTCTTCCGTTGATTTGATGTTTTGGGTTTCGACCTTTGATTTAGTTTCTCATCTGTTTTTCTTTATTGTTGGTCATCTGAAAAGTCATTGGTGGATTACTCTGAGGTTTCTATTTGGTTAACATGTAGCCTTATATGTTCAGAAAAAGCCAGGCAAGATATAGGTAATAATGCTAATAATGCTAATAGTGCTAATGTCTTGTTAAGATATTATGAGAATGCAGTGAGTGATGAGAGGCCACTATTTAGTTTTATTTTCTTTAATATTTGTTCTTTATTCCCTCCATTTCTCCTCTTCGTGGAGGACAGTGTTATTTATTTTCACGTCAAATTGACGTGAAAATTGAGATGTAATTTATGAATTTTGTCTGTACATATGAATTCAACGTGACATGAATAAAAACATTGGTGAGAAATTAATAGTTTAAATACACTTTACAGTCAAACAGTGGTTAATGTTGATACTTTTCTGAACTAAAGGATATTCACGGTGAACCACGTGTTGTTATGTAAAATAACGTCTGCAGCAGATTGAGTTTAAGACCAAGTCTGGAAGATAAAAGGTCACTTAACCTTTGATTGATTTTCTCCACAGGAATGCAGATGGATTGGTCAAGACAAGTTCCCAATATAGTGCTTCCTGTTTGGAGTTACACCTGAGAGTGACTGTGTCTGATGGATTAGCGTGTTTTCTAGGAGATGCTGACGTGAATTCAGAGGCCAGGGAGATGTGGCAGCGCTCGCCTTCAGGAGAAATCTGAGACTCGGATGAGTCTTGGGGCAGGAGGACATTTGAGTGAAGAGACAAACCATAGACTTGTTATGGTGTGGCATCAGACTGGCCGTGCGCTTTTAACCTGACTGTTGCACCCTCTGCTCCCACCCCATGTCACATCTTCTCCTGAATTATGGAAATTTTGTGGAAGACACTGACTTGGACTCTGAGCCTGGTGGTGATGGCTGCTGCTGAATTTCAGAGTGTCAACAGACTTTCACACAACTCTCAAGGTATGATGTAGACCAAGCATGGGCAAACTAAGGCCTGGGGGCCGGAGGCGGCACGTTCAGCTTTTTAATCTGGCCCATCAAACTTTTCCAAAAAATATATAATTAATTTATATTATCATTATACTTCTGCCTTTTCCCTGCAATACCCGCATTTTCCCAATAGATGGTGTATAAAACGATAAAAAGCATTTTTAGCATTTTAGCCTTAATACATGACCACGTTCACATGAATGTCTATCTATTTGCTCCCGACTCGGCCCCCTGACGTAGACAGACGGACAGGATTGTACTTGTGATCGTGTGTTCGTTGTCACAACATCTCTTTTAATGATTCATTCTTTTTTTTTGTTCACCTGCAAAAGAGGAGTTCCTGTCCTACGTGCAGCACTACCAGCTGACTGTCCCAGTGCGGGTGGATGAGAATGGAGAGTTCCTTAGCTACACTGTGAAGCACCACCGGCCCGGCAGACGGAGACGGGGGGCCATGGACCCTCTGATGGGACCAGCGCCTCAGTTAGACTCAGACCCTCCAGAATCCCAGCTCTTCTACAAACTATCAGCCTACGGAAAGCACTTTCATTTAAACCTGACGCTCAACCCCCACCTAGTGTCCAAACATTTTACCGTGGAGTATTGGGGCAAAGAGGGGCTGGAGTGGCGTCACAACACGGTAGACAACTGTCACTACGTGGGATTTCTACAAAACCAGCACAGCACCACCAGAGTGGCCCTCAGCAACTGCAGGGGCCTGGTGAGTCCTCTCTGATGTTTCAGTTGTCGTCATCAGGAGTGGGGGTCAGCGCACGCTGACTCACAGCCATTCACTGCCACACAGTTTACATTCCCAAAGTCAGACAAAACCATAATATTACTACTATCAAAACATTGACCTAAAACTGATCTGGTGTCAGCTGTGACAGTCTTTTTAATGCCGTGCCAAAGGATTAAAACAAATCGTAGTCTGCTTAGCATGATCTTGGCCTCCTTCCACTTGGCAGGCCAGGACTGAAGACAGTTTAGGACGAGGTGATGCTCATGCAGAGAGACCACATTTTCACAATGATCAGTTTTTTTAGTTCCAGTTATTTTGTCATGTATCGTACTTCAATAATGTAGTGAAAAGCCTGCAGCGTTCAGATTACCTTTTCCTCAGCCTGTCTATATCATAGGTATGACCTCATTTTAAAAAAAGACTTTGTTCAAAAATACAACTCAGCGCAGCTAACAAGGTGTCCAATTATTCTGCTTCAATCTTTTGTCCTTGGGCTCCTGTCCACGGCCTGTGTCACTGTCTAGTCTTTCACTTTTCTAATCAGCAGAGTGGAAGAAACTTTTGATCGCTTTTGTCC